TTAATATATTATCTCATACCAATAAATGAATAACTTCCCCTAACTTCAAATATGCTTAATCTTCCATTTTACAGCTTTATTTCAAGATAAAAAGCAAATGTGCAACAGAGTTAATAATGGTTATAACTCGTCATACCAGAGCAYAGGCTGCTACAGCCAACTTGGAGAAAAACCAGATTTTGCTTCAAAACCATGGACACAATTAAGTACCCCAGAAGATCTTTGTTGCGAGACAAGCAAGAAGGGATGTGAAACAGAGTATGGACCGGGCTATGTGTATGTTAAAGAGCACAACATGTGTTTGAAAGAAGTGTATGACGGTACGTGAGAGGATTTTTCGTTTATTGTTGTTGTTGTTGATTAGCCGGCCATGGGCCTTTTTCACGCGGCAGCCATGTTGGTTGGAACAATAGATTCTACCACGCGTAGACTCGCATACAAGAGCTTGAGAATAAATTTATGCGGGTGAAACCGAAAGGTTTTTATTCTCATCAAGATAAACATAGCCGCCGTGTGATAAAGGTCCACAGATGATCTACAATTTAATCCTGAAAACAAATTCCGTGGACATGCATTTTTACAATTCAAAAATAGTGCTAGTTTTTCTCCTCTACATTTTTCCCATTTTCTTCTCCGTCTAAGCACGAYCAATGTTGATTTTCTGATTTGCAATTTGAACCATACCGTTAACGTTTTGAACCATTGATCGTGGCTTTTAAAACGGSAATTGGCGTCGCGACGCTCTCAAACAGGAAGTGAAAACARGCAAAATGGAGTCTTGATCCTGAACGGAATTTGAAAGGCATAATTTTTCAGCCTTGTCGTCCTCTTTCGTCGCGTTGTGTTTGCAAAAGAGCGGCTTAGAAAAAGGGAATTTACTGTCAAAAAAATATCGAAGACCCGTATTTGATTTGATTATTTTTCTCTTCAGGTTGCATCTTTAATGTGCCTTTTAACTCGAAAAAGCCACCAGTTTGCTGTCTAACCAATCCATCAACAGGTCGAAACACGACGTACGGMTGTCAACCAACACATACATGTGGCTTAACAGTAGTCTGCTAACTTATTTACTTCAARCAGAAACTCATGAGGGTTTCTTTATAAGTTTTCTGCTACATGAGAACAGTTAGCGTTGCCTGCCAGTGTTGATTTATGGATAACAGTAGTCTAAATGTATAAGAAGTCTGCAAATTAAATGTAATAAAAGACATTTAGTTTATACTTTGGTGAAATTTTCTTGGTGAATTATTAATTAATGCCATAAATTACTGGTATCAGGAGYTGGAAGAGAGGAACGGATCAGTGAGGAGGGAAGGATGACTAAAACGGAAAAACTASGGGGGGAAAGTAGGAGAGGAAGAAGGTAGAGCCAGGAAAGAGGAAAAGGGATCGGAGAAGGGAAAAAAATGGCATAAAGAATGGAGAAGGAAAATRATTAAACGCCATGTTCCTCGTTGTCGGTGGTAGTTCTTTCGACGGACTTTGATGACAAGTTTGATTGACGTAAGCGAAAAACGTTAGAAGGAGTTTGATATTTGAGCCTTAGACTTCGCATGTTTACGAAAATAGCGAAAATGTCTGGTATATATCGCATTTCCAAGTTTTTGTTTCGTAAAAAAGTGGAGGATAACCCGGGCTTATTGCCTTGCCTAGTGTAAAAGTCAAAATAAAACAAAATATAGGTTTATTCTTTGCGTGAAACCAATATAGGTCATTAAATTTTAAACAATCACACTTAACAGACTAAACTTGACCGCACAAGTTACATTTCAACCAATAAGAATGCAGCTTACACGCAGGCGCAAACATTTTCATCAGCTAATTAATCTTGAACAAAATCCACGTATTTCACTTTCTCGAGMAAAGATAAATTCTGAAGTCATCGTTGAGAGAGATAGAAACATTTATAAATCGAATTATCYGTAAGGTAATTTCCTTATTTGATTTTAAAATATTATTTTTTAACTTTCTACAAATTATACTTGTTTCTTAAGCTTAAAGTTAGAATATTTTACCAATCTTTATAGAGTGCATATTATATATCCATGAAAAATTTAATTGCAAGAAATTGCATAAATGTTCGGTAGACCTCAGTAGAGCGTAAAAATGCAGCTTTTATAAAATATGGTTTAAAGAAGGGAATGAATGAATAATCTATATGCCGAGTCCATGTTATGTCTATTACATTTATGTTACTGTAAATTTACTGTTATGTTATATCAGGACTCTATATAAACTATAGCCTTGCTAAACTAGATGTGCCTGCATATTGACTTAAACAAAATAAAAATAAAAATCTACAAACCTTTGCACTAATTTGTACAATTTTGTTAGTTAACTTTTCACGGATATATGGTATATGCACTCTAATACATAATGAATCGTGGGARCCTAATTTTGGTACGATTGCCAATATGGTCAGACTTCAGTTAAAATCAACATGCCCCAGATTCAATTCAACGACTGTCTATTTATCTCCCCAGATGTTCATCCAAACGAGCTGTTTCCTGGTTTTCGCAGCATTTCTGCTTTTTGCATCCCACGTGACCCAAATCCTTAGCTCAAGACAAGACATTGAAAACAGGTAATTTTTAAGKCCAGCTGTAAAGCACTAGAGAAGCAAGCTTTGCTTTGCTTTTTGCGTGCTCTATACAGCTCCCAGAGTGTTTATATCAYGATAATACAAAGGCATGCGTCGCGCGCAGTTTCATATCGCTTTTATAAAATAYTTTTGGCGCCGMGTTTTGCGCCGCTTGATTCCGGTCTCTTTATCCATCTATATAAACACGGTAACCGGCCATTCAGCGCGCGCGTTCTATCTAAAATACTTTTTAATATAAGATTTTGAAATGCTGATGATAGCGATGGTGGTGTTGTTGGTTCTAAATCAGTATCGAATCTCCATTCCCTTTTTATATTCTTATTACCAAAGAACTTATACTTATGTAGAAGTTTTCTTTTCTTTCAGTACTGTTACGGATCCGTGTTTAGTGCCAGGCGTAAACTGCCACTGTTTTCTTGGATACGAAGACCAAGACAATAGAATATTCAAGTGGCGTAGATTTCACGTTACATATAGGCTTGTTCCTAACRATACAAACGGGCAAGAGTTGTGTGATAAATTTTGCGAAAAGGATTGTAATGGTAAGTAACTTTCCATCAGATTTCTTTTTTTTTTTTTGTACACCTCATAAGCTTCTTATATTACACGGAATTGTCGTACCGCAYGGTACCGGACAAATTTTTAACTAGTCAAAGAGTTGTATGTTTAAGGGTTCCGTTCAAACGGGACTGTTATGCTATCCGAATAAAAATTCGTACGCCTAGCCGTTTAAATTTGTATACATTAAGGAGATGGTTCGTCCTTRTATGTACGTTATGTTGAAAATTCGTAAACGAGCCTAATTTTCTCCAGGAAATCACCAGAGATGTGAGAAACGTAATATACCTTATTTCACGAAATTTTCACGATAACGAATTTCTAGAATATATAATGACAACAAAATTAATGACAATGTAAAACTGCAGTTTGAATCGTGTAAACAACAACAACAACAACAACGACTTTATTCGTTTTATTTTTTTACTGAATGATCTACTTGAAGGTGATTCCTTGTTACTATATTGAATTTCATTCCAAGTCTTTACCCCGATAAACTTAAGACGCAGCCTTACACCAAAGATTGTCAAATTTTTAAAATTTTTTATAGATTGGCTTATGTYAGGAAACGACGCTTTATGTAAAATGATTGATGACGACTACAATTCAAATTCCCAAAGAAATTTCGGCTGCTATATACACATTGATTCGAAAGGCAAAGTGTGTCTAAGTAAGAAATGGAACCAGACAAAAGTCCCACAAGACCTTTGCTGTCATAAAGAAAAGAAAGAGTGTCAGTTGGCCTATGGCTCCCAATATGCCTACAGCAGCGACTACAACTTATGTCTAAAAGAGCTGGATGACGGTAAGAAGGAATGRTGATTGCCCATTCAAGACCATCGGTAACATTCTCTTGTACTATTGAAGTCAGCRGTGAAAATCTAAGTTTTCATACATTTGTTTAACTGCAACTGGGTCTTTCATATGACATGAAGAACATGCATGCTTTACAAAATGTGAAAGTTTGAAAAAGATATAAACAATTATTATTAAAGAATTACAAGGCCACAGTTAGGTTGAAAGGCCTGCTCTTGGACTAGCGGTCCAGTTGGCATGGCAGTGCACTTTGGGGACAAAATAGCAGCCATCTTGGAAATATGCCCCCTAAAAAAGTCCCACAATGCACTGCAATTTATTTCAACTCGACCCAGTTTTTTCCTCAACCTCGAAGTGGCTAATAGTGACCTTGTTGTTATAACAGAAATCAAAAATTCTATTGCTATGTATCTTTGACAGGTTGTATAACAGGAGTTGATTCTAACGATAACAGTCCTCCAGTCTGTTGCCTTAGAGACACGTCAACAGGACAAGACAAGACGTATGGATGCCAGCCACTCTTAAAATCTGGAAAAGTCTCTGCAAATGTTACTTGTTAAATAAACTATGATGAATATTAATCTAATATTAATCTAATAAAAATTATTAAGGTTCATATRTGTTACGTTGTAACAAGTCTTGAATTTCAAAAATTTTTCCAAAACTTTCCAAAGCCCTTTCACTCGAATTTCCATAACCACAGATAKCGCAAAAATAAAGCAAAATTGATGGATCTGAGACATAAATGAGATAACCCAGCTGACCAGGCACTGACACACGTACATCACACCTACAATGCTGACAAAAAATATATTCGGTACTTTACAACGAAACCAGTTCTTTGCAAGGTATAAGCTAGACAGCTACAAAAAATCCATAACTTTTCCATAGCCTAGTGGAACAAAGATCAATTTTCTAARACGTTCAAGGTTCTGGGAAATCCATTGTCAATTTCCAAAACTTTCCAAGACWTTCCAAAGCCTGTAGGAACCCTGTGTTTTTAACTGTACATGTCAGTATAGATCTGAATTGAATCAAATCGAATCAACGTAATATCAGTAATAATAAGTCTTGGCTGAAATTCTGCCAACTGTTGCTCACGATTAAAAAAGATTAAAGGATCGATAGCAGATATAGATTCGAAAGAAAGAAAGAATTTCAATGAAAACAAAACAAAACTTTTAAGAARGGAAAGAAAAAAAATTATGCGAAGAATAAAATAATCTTAAAGAAAGAAAGAAACAAAATTTTGAAGACATGAAAAAGAAATTTATGCAAAGAATCAAAGAATCTTGTATCTTACAAAGTCAGATTTGACGGGTGTGAGTACTGTCTTTAGTGCTGACAGGCGCCAAACCCACGTCTAGACAAATGAACCTGTTGAACAACACAATTATGGTACCAGGCCCATGGTGCATGCGTTCATCACTTTAATATTATATTGTAATGCAGTCGTGTAAATTCATCTGTACTACTGGTAAATATTATGAAAAACAACGATGAACTTTAGACACACAGTACATTGGTTTTAAAAGCACTTTTAGTAAGCTTTCGACTCGCAAGAGTGACCGTGATTATGACTCTCGTTGAGTCGAAATCTTAYTGCTTACTATCAATCACGTGACTTTTTGGAGTTGACTGGGGGGCAAACAAGCGGTTKACTGGGGGGTAACTAGCGGATGCTAAGTCAAAACATATCAAAATAAGTCCTCAAACTATTGCATTTGACTATTTTCACGACATCAAACCAGAAAACAAGAGATCAAAACAACCTCCAGGATTCTACAAGCCATCAAAAAAGAGCTATTACCGGAAGTAACGTCTATTGATAGCAACCTATTGAAAGTTCTTCCAAACCAGTGTATTGTCTCTAAATGTAATGGTTGTTTCTTATATAAATATTCATATAATGGTGTAACTTATAYTTCTAGATCTAAGTTGGATATTTGAGGCATATTTAAAACTAAATTAAGAAAAYGAGAAATCATGTTTTAGGTTACAAGACATGGAAAACATTCGATAAKAATCGAATGGGACTCATTTCCTGCTTATATTAGCTCAGACGATCTGTGAAGAGACGCCAAAAGAGATTTAAGTTGCTGAAGTTTACCACTGTCGTGTTGAAAGCTATCACGTGACAGGTCTTAGCTAAGACTATCCTGGCTATAACGTCCAATGAAAAGAAGCAGAACTGCCTTCTGGTCGTTTAATCGATGTATTTATTTCGTTTCTCCCGTGAGGGCAGGGCCGGACACAACGGCACGGCCAATTATCCGCGCGTGCGTTTTAGCGACGCGTGTTGCATGCAGTGAGTGGTAGAACCTGAATGTGGCCAATCACACGGCGACACTTGGTTGGAAGATGATAACGTATTGACTTAATACATGAATTATTCATGATATAGCAGTATCATTTCAAGTAACTCTCTTCATCCACGGGGATCTGACCCTAACAATACCGCTGCATGAGTCGCTTTGAAGGTAATTTAGTTATCTATGAAATAATCTTCAGTAGTAGTTCTACATATAAAACTCTCAACTAGCAACTTCACTTTTGATTCTATCTGCTGATTGGCTACGGTAGCTTTGGATGAAATAGATAGCCCGCACGCGGGTTCTCGAAAATCGAACAAAACAATAGATTTTCCTTGCGCTTTTTGCGCCATGTTGGTTGACGATCAGTAACAAAGCATTCCTCTTTAGCTTCTCTTGTTAGACCAACCAABATGGCGACTGTTTCATCGTTATCTACATCTCAAATAATGTTTAGTCATGTAGTTGCACACAAAGAATACGAAAAATCAAGAGAATATATTAAGTACTTCATGTTCTCTTGGGAAAATATTTTTTCTCTCGCTCGTCTTCAGTGATTTTTTTCTCTCTCTACAGATGTTCCACACAATGAGTTTTTTCTTGGCCCTTTTCGGGTTATATTTGGTGCCGCACATGCTACAAACCCAGGAGACAAATGAARAAGCTGTAAAAGATGGGTGGAGCGACACCATGTCGTAAGGGGATTTTTAATTTGGACCTCTTTACCTCGAGCGTAATGTTTTTAAGATAATATTAAAAAATGCTTATTAGAATTAAGATTCTTTGTTTGAGTTGTATTTATATTCATGAACTTTTAAGCGCAACCGTTAAACAAAGAAATTAGACTCTTGGAAATGAGACGTGGTCTGAAATGGAAAACATTACTGACGCCGAAGCTAAAAAGATCTATTAGATAACAATGCGCATTTCTTATTTCATTTTTTATACATATCCTGTTTGGCTCTCAGTAGTGTAATTTAATCACAAATCGCACCATTTCAAGTTTTAAATCGCACTGTTTTGAAAAGCCAATGAAATTGCAGAAAATATAGCATTTGAACAAGTGGTTTTTCATGGGCGAAAGACATTTTGTGACTTAAATTTTACATTAAGATCAAGTCTAGTAATATTGCAGGAGATTTCAAACAGGATTTAATGAAGTGGTAATTGAACTTGATGAGAGATCGACGGCAAGGCCCGGTACAACACATGAGGGAGTTGAAACATATAACAACTACGAGTGTATAGTACATACTTATATTCTGTACGTATCTTTGTTGTAATAATAATGATAACCAATCTTTATTCATGAATGATGTTGTTTCCTGCTTTTTTTAGTTCCCTCAACAAAAAAGGAGATCAAAATAAAGCCATAGGACGCAGCGGTAAACAACTTAGAAAACGTAATTGCTGGTGTTGGATAGGAAACGGCACAGAGGGAAACAATGTTCACATGGATCTCGGGCTCCATCCACAATCTTTTGAACAAAACGAAGAAGGAAGTCTCCGTTGTGAGGACGGATGTAAACACGAGTGTTATCGTAAGTATTATCCATYTGTCCGATTTATCCCAACAATCCGTTCGATCGTCAGCCCATTCATTTATCTTTATTATTAATCCATCCATCCATCGTCGTTTGGTCCACCCGTCGGTCCTTTCTTTCCTAACACGATAAGTAAATGCAGGTCTGGTAATAGTAGACCATTTTTTTATCATCACTTTATTCAAATTTACGTTTCCTTCAACATACTTTCTTTCATTTACAGCCTACTTCACATACGAAGAAAGCGTTGTCGCTCTTTGTCAAAAAAGCCAATTAGAAGTCAAACATGGAGCGTTCAGATCTGGCCGTCATAGCGCATGCTATAGTTACCGCGGAGACCTCCATTACGGAAAACTGCGCGGAAGATATGTGCGCCCGTGGTACGACCCTCTTTATTACTGCAAAAAGAAAATGATCGGTTGTAATGTCACCTATGGACTTGGCTATAAATTTGATGAAAACACGAAGCTATGCAAGAAAGAACTTAAAAAAGGTACGTTTGTTTGATCGGTGGTGTTATTACTTTACCATTGGCATTTGTGAATATTTTCACATTCAAATAAGATTAGCCCCGAGTAAATGGATCTGTTATCAAGGTGCACTAAGTGCTTTTAAAGAACTATATTGCATCTGAGGTAATGTTCCCTAATTGAAGTCTTCCCGAAAGGTTTAGGTGACTTTGAATCAAGGCGCGCAATACTAGGGGTGTGGGGGTGACTTATTTTTTATTATTTCTTGTCAAAATAAAATACTTACCACCAAAACGACGAAATATAGCAATAAATAAATAAATAATAATAATAATGATAATAATAATAATAATAATAATAATATCAATAACATTTATTTAAAGAAGATAATAAAATAAGCAGCACACATGCGCAGAGCTGATTTGTCGATGTAATTTACGGTTACAATAATAACTTCTAGAAATGTAAAGGGTTCGGTAAAACTATGATGGTTGCTTTTTAAAAAAGGAATATTGATTTTTCTATTCTCTTCATTTCTTTTCAGATAAGAACTGCATCGCTGGAGTGAAGAAACACGAGACAACATATCCAATCTGTTGCGATAACGAAAACACATTTTCATGCGTGCAGCCCGTTTATTACTTCAAAGCTATTCGAAGTAGATAAATAATGATTTAAGTATGAAATAATCAAATCATTACGAATACGTTTAAATACTAAGAAAACCAAATCTTATAATTTGGATTCTGTAATTRAAATAAACCAGTTTTCCTGAATGCACTTTAGTATTTTCCTCGCTTAGGCTCAGTTCAGATCAGACTAAGTCCCAGTGCAGACCTTGAACTTTTGTGGCGTCCAATGTACTAGACCCTTTGCCAAAATGGCGGCCGAAAATAGAAATAAAATAAATAAAAAACCAATACCAGCACTGGAAAGAGCACATTTACTTTAGTAACCATACRAAGATTCATTATGTCAGGTGTTATATCGGCCGAGAAAACTTTAGTTGAATATTGACATTTGACGTTTGTATGCCCTTGGGGTGAAGCGTATACTCATACTTGACATGAGCCTAATAGGCCCTTTGCAGCTCAGTAATCACGTGCTAATTAATTCACTGAGAGTTAATGAACGAACATTTTAATTCTCATCGGGTGAAATTTACTGCAGGGCAAACAAACTTTCTACAGCCTGTTTTGAGAGATGGTAATAAAACTGCATTTTGTAACACTGCTTACACATCATTTAAAAGTTCTTTACAAGTATCAAATTGAGCTGATCCTCGCAGTATATGAAGCTACTTATGCAGCTGCAAATTGAAAGACTCGGAAAAAATTACAAGTAGCTAAAAAGAAATCACTAATTTAAAATAAAAACAAAAGTTTTGCTCTCCAGTACAGACACGTGACCGTTAACTGCAATCAATCTCAAATGGTAAAATAAATTTGGTTCTCTCCTGATATTTATCTTCTATCATTGTCGGTTCTCTCCTGTGCTTCGAGGGTTTTCCGGGTTCTTTGGTTTTTCTTCCTCCGCAAAAATCAATAATAATAATGTTTAATAATATTTATAACTTAATATTGCGCAGTCTATTAAACAATCAATTCAAGATCTTATCGAATATATGATCGAGATTTTTAAATCAACTCCAATTGGAATCCAGTGGAAGAAGAGCCATTCTGTGGAATCCACTGTTAATCCATTATTTATTTGTTATTATTTAATGATTAAGTTGGTTAGCACAAACAATCTAAAAAAACTACACCAATAAAATTAAATTTCAAAAACCAATATGGCGGCTATGACGTCATATTTATCCCAAGAATTCTGCTGGATACTATAATAAATAAACTTTCCTAATAATTTTAAAACTCGAGACAAATTCAAAGTCAAAACGAATGACGTTTAGACGACCGTGTTTGAAAAAAACAATTACGTAAAAAATTCGGCTTAATGAAGCGTCGTTCATGTCATCCGATATGCCTCTCGACCAACGTAGTCGGTGGTGTTGGCAAGATAAGCGAATACATTTCATCATTATCATTTATTTATCCGTACTTAACAGTTCTCAAAACCTGTGTACAAATAGAGTGTTTTAAAAAAATTCTTGCTTCTTGAAAATCATTAGCCACTGAATCAGAGGCCATTTTATTCTATGATCAAAAGATGTTCTATCCTTGAACCTTTGATTCAATTAAAGCAACATTTACTCAAGAATAAGAATGAATATCAGCCAAGAAGGGTTTACCAAGTAAATTCAAAAGCCATTTCTTTGGTTTATTTGGAGAAAATATTTGTCTTCACGATTGAGAATAGAAATAACCGTGCGGAACGTACGTTTTGACCCACAATGCGCTGCGGCATTGACCAACTGAAATGTGGATTCACGTGGCAGGACACAAACTAAAATGTGAACTCGATGGAATCATAAATCGTTGAAGATGTCACTGGTGCTATTCTTGACCAATCAAACGGCGTTTATTGATATAACAAGCTAAGTGTATTAAGAATTTTTTTTTATAAAGAAAACTATTATAACATTCAAAGCGGCTCCCTTTTTAGTTGTCCTTGAAAGTTGCGACCTTTTGCTCTCACCAAGACTCTCAAGTTTTTAAGGTAATTTAACGATTTTTAAGTTAGGCTGAAAAACTATTACATTGTCTTTCTGATAGAGCTCTTAGATAGTATCTGTGAAACGGAAAAAGTAATGAAATCCGTTATAAACTTTGTAGAACTTTATAGACGATGACGAAGCAAGCAAAATGTAAATTTACGACTGCATTTTGTTTCAATTTATCCCGAAATAAGACGTATTGCATTGATTATTCCAAGTTAGGGAGCCAGTCGAATTCAGCTATAGCTGTAGGTTCCCATGTTTATTATACCACAGACTGTTAATCTGTGCATTTGTGTGGGGGCTTAAGATAATAAGATAGAATTTACAGTCAATTAGAAACGCCACGTGACGGCAGCCATGTTAGATGGCAGGAACAATATAATCCCTTTTTCATGAGAAAAAAAATCAATACCCATTTTAAAAGGAATCTATCGTTCTGCCATTTAACATGGCTGCCGACACGTGATAATGTAAATGTTTCGATTCGTATTCATGAATATGTTCATAACACTGATTTCCAGAGAATGAAGATGGTCAATTTAAGACTTGTACTTCTTTTGGCTTCTGTTTCGTTTCTTGGGTCCCACATGGCTCAAGCTAACGCATCCAGAGAAGAAGACGAGGGAAGTTCTGGAACCAATACTATTCTTCAAACAAACTCCGAGGAAGATTTAAGTGGTGACGAAAGTGGAGCAGTTGAATTGGAATTACCTGAACTTCCATCAGAAGAAAATGCACCAGAAATGTAAGTCAATCAATATTTATAAACATAGTTACTCTGGTTCAAGCATTTTGTCAGCATTTTTTYCCCTGGTGCAGAGCGAAGTAGTGTCGGGAAATCCTCTTAATTTTTGTTAGTAAGCACCAAGAAGAAAAACAGTTTCTAGGCGCGCTGAGTGATTCTATTTTTCTTTGATTTTATTTAAGATTTGATACGATCACTAAAAACGAAAGGGAAAGAGCGCACTCGCGCAAGTTGATGACGCACGGGAGTAGGGTAAGGCGAAATTCAAACTGCATCCGGTTACTAAAAATAGCTCAACCGGGAACTTACATGGCGCGCGCTTTATTAAGAAGTTTCCCTCTCTTATTTATGCTCTCTTGACTTTATCAAGTCTATCCTCGACTTGGAGCCGGGAAAGGTCTACTGCGAGTTAATCTAGCAACTAGGGACTTTAAGATTTGCAAAATCTACGACGGCGACGTTAACCGGAAGTGTAAATAATTTCTCTTTGGGGTTCTGTTCATTGTAGATTTCATTCAAAACATTGTCATCAAAGTCAACTCATCCACAGGGAAGACAGATTTTAAACGGACTCGAAATCCAAAGTGCAATAATTTACACTTCCGGTAGACGTCGTCGTCGCAGATTTTGCGAATCTTAAAGTCCCTACTGTTCTGCGAAACGCAGCGGACATAACTAGGCCGAGCCTCTTTTTCAAAATATCAACCTCAATGCCTGAAACACCCTTATATTAATTTACTAATTTCTCCTTACAGACATAATTAAAGAGTTCTGTTGTGGGGAATGGGGCGAACAAAAAATATATACCATAATATAAATGCTGTGTTTTGGTTTAGAGGTCTAAATGACAGCAGTTATCAAAGTCGTTCCAAGAGGAGCGAACCGGTTTTTAAATGCCACTGTTGGATTGGATGGCGATATTACATTAAATACAAATATGTGGACTTTGGCGAGATTGGTCTGTATCCGAGACGAGAGGCATGTAAGCACGAATGTTCCACGAAATGTGCACGTAAGTATACTTCGTGTTTGTAATACGAAAACACCACAGGCGAGTTAGTGTAGCGTGCTAGATTGGACACAGACCAACGGACAGACTAACGGACGGACGGACGGACGGATTGATGAATGATTGGAATGAAAAAATACGAGGATAGAATTAAATTTAAAAGACACAGAGATGAAAGAAAATAATTCATGATTTTTTTTAAAAAAACGTTGCAAGCAAACACAGTCTTTCATTTCAATTCTTCTTTTACAGCTTGGTTGGAGAAGAAAGAATTGTTATGTCAAAAGATTGGGGGGCGCTATGACTCAAGAAAGCAACGCTCTGTAGGCTGTTTCAGTCAGTTTGGTTACCCCAACAGTCAAGAAAACATCTGGGAGTTTAACAACTTACCATTTGAATTGTGCTGTCAGTCAACTGGAATCAATTGTGCGGCCTTATATGGTCCTAGATTCTACTACAACTCGTGTCTCGGGTTGTGCGTGAAAAATACCAAATCATGTAAGAATCGCTTTATTTTTCTTTCCTTTCCTTATCCTACTTCTTCTCTTCTTCCTCATTTTACTCCTTCTCTTTTTCCTTCTTCTTCTTCTTCTTCTTCTACGACTTAATCTCCTCCTCTATCTCTTCCCCTTCCTTCTTCATCGCCTTCTCCTTCTCCACCTTGATTTTCTTTTCCACCTCTTGAATCTCCCCTCTCCTCCTTTTCAATCGCCTTCCCATCCTCCTTCTCTCATATCTTTGATCTCTTAATTTGTCTTTCTTTTCATTATCGAACGAGTCAATATTTCAAATTTCAAGCTTTAGTGCTTTAATCTCACTCACTTCGATTCCTCCTCTATTTACAGGCTGTCCTCCGTGGCTCATCAACAACCGTCCTTCTACTCCACACTGCTGTGACAACCATAAATTCAGCGTTTGCAAGAAGCCCAAATGTGGAGTTCATAGCGTACCATGCCCAAACGACAAATAAATAGTTGACCCCTAAATACACTTATTTAAAATGTTGATATTAGTTAGAATTTGTTTGTGGGAGGAGAGGGAAGGGAAAATTTTGCTCCTAGAACCCAGCCCACTTTGATGTTCCTGATTCCAGTATTTCATAAAATTAGAACGGTAGACGAAAGAGAAAAAAAAGGTTGCTTAAACTGCAACAAATTAAATATGCGATAAGAAACAAATTTAGTATAGTAGTAGTAAAGTACAGTACAAATTTAAGTAATAAACAGAAATAATAAAATAAGTTATACTTTCCCTCGTATATCTACGTCCTGTACCTGCCTCGCGAAAACTAAAAAATATCAATTCAAAACGGTATATTGATTCAGTCCTGTATTAAATCTTTCGAAACATAAATCATAAAAATCTATTAACAAGAAATTAAGCGTACACTTTGCCCCTCTTAGGGCAAATACCATAATTATACATCCTCATATAGACAGGCTAATCCTGAGAAATTAAACATTAGTAAGATCAAGAATTAAAAATGAGTTTCTTTTAGTTAATTTTTTTGTATTTCAGGTTAAAAAGAGAGCGTAGGAGTACATTAGGAGTTACCCTTATTCAAAACAAGCCTAAAAAACAACTTGGTTTAGCAATATTTTGGGCAGGCGATTTTTTCGAAAAATCGCACTAAATTCGAACAATCATGTTTAAAATAGTGGCGACGTGAATTTATCAAATCGCCTCAAAGTCGCCGGTAGTTTACATGAGCGATTTATGACCGCACGTCAATCGCAAGAATCTCAGTGCAAATCGCGCTGAAAATGGCCGAAAACATCGCCTGTTCAAACGGGCCTTTACTTTGAAATCAGCACCAGCTTTGTGACATTAAAAWTTTTTTCTGAGTGCACTGTAAAAAAAGCTCGGTATCTTAGAGTACGGTTTAACGTCGGACTCTCCACATGAAGGCGAGTAAAAACAATGAATAAGCCAGGCAATCGTCTTTTTTAGTCATTATGTTCGGCTCGTGTCGAAGTTCGACGTTTGACCTTAGTTTACAAACTCAATAACTCTTCTGATAGGTGAGAAATTTGGTTTCACTTCTCTTGTTCTTCATATAAAAAGCAATGACTACAATCAGCATTAAAATGAACAGAACAGCAAACACTACTGTCAGAGCTGTGAGGGTCTTCACCATTTTGTCTAAAATAAAATAAAAACAATGTTAGGACATTAAACTAATTACGGAGAGACTGAAATAAATAAATWWTTTTTTTTTTTCAGTTTTAAAGCCGTCACTTTTCGCTACTAGTGCATGGTCTATCACTAATATACCACTAGTAGCTCAGCCAATCAGAGCGCAGTATTCGTGATAGACCCCAGTAAGCTTTATATTAATATGTGTTACTCTCGTAAGACAACGGGAAGATTTACTTATTAGATTAATATTATCGAATAAAAATCAAGTACCAGGAGGATTGTGAATAATACGCCACTGATGACAGTCATGACAATGATGGCTACCTTGGAGCAACCTGTTGGAATAGTGATTAGAGTAGAGTAGTTTGTTGGTTCTCTCCTGTGCTTCGAGGGTTTATTTCCGGGTAGTTCTCCGGTTTTTCCTCCCTCAACAAAAATCAACTTCTAAATTCCTATTTGATCTCGGCTTTCTTATCAATTGGGTCGCAAAACCTGTTAGGTATTAAGCCGTCCACCCAGAAGTGGTTAACACAATATTAATGCTTATGGTATCACATCGGTGGTCTAAGCTTGTAAGGTGTCGTCCTCTCACTAATTCAAGAGTGGAAAGGGGCCCACGTTCGAGTCCTGGTAGGGTATTTCTCCGGGTCTCCTCCCTCCGCAAAAATCAACATGCAATTTGAGAGTCGTGTTTTTGGAATATATAGAACATTCGAATGTTAGTAAGGAGTGTGCGTGGTAGTCTTTGTTTTAGGTTCGGTCCCAGATCCTTACGGGCCTTCTAGTGTAGAGGACCCATGAAGGACGGAACCTAATGACGGAYGCGAAGGAGACTGCGTATGAAGATACGCGGCCAACACATTAGTTTATGGGAGGTTTCACGAGTGAAGTATTTCCGGTGGCGTATTTGGCGCCATCATAGTCATTATCACAACTCCATGCCTTGAATTCTTTCATTCTTCAAGTTACTCGTTTTTAGGCAACGTTTCTAACGATAACATTATATACACACAAGATGGCGGGCTCCCTGTGAGATGCCAGATGTATACAGGTAGCCCAAATGATCACTTATATTAACTGAATTAAAACAAACCCTGATCGTCGTTTGGTTTCTCCACTGAAGGTGTTTTTCTTTGTAGTTTTGGAATAAACTCATTCCAAAAAGCGACTTTATCTGCCACAAGTTTTTCCGTGACGGTTGGATTTGGATGCAACAGCAGAACCTTCTGATCGTTAGTCGTAAACTTAGGCCATTGGTTGGAATTTGAAGGGTTTGGATCGCTATGAAGAAAGTCAAAAATACTTAGAATCAGTTGATCATATCTCTATGTCCAAAAACACGGATTTTTTATCCAATAATTAGTTTTTTAAATCAAAGCATTCTTCCAAGACGGCAGCTACATGACGTAATTTAAGATTACTTTTTAACAGCACAATTGCTTGATCACTTGACGTCACTTCCTGCCTCGTGCGCAATGTTCATATAAGCTGAGGCACGTGATTTCAATAGTATTCTTTCTAATAATTCTTTTCTAAATTTGGGAAAGCACTAATGGTGTGCGCCGTAAATTAAATGCGTCACCTCTCACCAATGCCACGCKGTCCGTTTCCCGGGGGCCCGGTGTCGTATGTGAGTAAAGTTGTTTATTGATTTCTCCGGGTTCTCCGTTTTTCATCCCTCCTCAAAGTCGGAAACACGTCGAAATGTAACTCAATTTGGAGAACAAAACGATGGGTTTACAATTCTCAGGAGTTTGAAATTCTTTTGTTTTGTCCTCCAAATTGAGCTCCTTTGACGTCACATGCAAGGGGTATGCTCAAAGGTACTTGACCTAATTACTTTATGTTAACAAAATGACACTCAATCTTAACTTACCCAGTGGCTGCAAAATTCCCAATAAACTCTCTGTATGTTCTTCCAAACTGATCGCTTTCATTGCCAAACGTAGAGACAATTTGAGTGAACCAGCTGGAGGGTCCAAAAAGATAGAACAGATCAGCACCATGGTAAGCTCCCATCCATTCTGGTCTTGCTGTACCGTCAAACATCTTTGGCACCTTGTAATCAAACTGGTAGACGAAGGTGTTTATGTTTTTCTTGGCAAATGCTTGGGAGGCCACTAAACCAGGTACCCTGAATCCCATGTCTGTGGTTAGTTCGAACACACYCCTACGGGGAAATAACCGATAACAAAATACGATGATTTGATGAACATAATATTGTAAATTATAAAGACCGCCAGCTGATGTGAGAGAAAAATTTAACCAATCAGAATAGATAAAATTCGCAGAACTGCGTTTATGTCAAGCGGAAATAAGCCAAATATTACCTTCTAGTCTTATTGATGTTATCAACATCAGTCCAATCTGTATATTCTTGAACTATTGCTGCTACTATCTCAGGATTCTGGTCCCTCACAAAGAAGGTTCGTTGGGTGTAGTTTAGAAACTCCTCTCGTGTTAAACCATCATCTGTCTTCAAACCGTTAAACAATCCTGAAAAAAACAAATACAGGATCATCATTATGCTAAACTATATACCCAATGAAAGCGCGCGTTATTAACTTCAGTATTTACCTAAAATATCAGTAACGCGCGCTTTTATTGGTTAGCTTAGCATACGCTAGAGCTAGAATTCATAATTCTATGCGCCGAATGCGCATGGGCGAATGGACGCGAGAGATCTAGTTCAGCGAGTCATGTCTAAGAACTTCATCAGGAACCTTAAAATGTGTTTCAATTATTAAGACTATTGTTATCGTTACGGATTGGCATGTTCGGCTAACAACTCAACAATCTAGGCTAATATATCCTACTCAAACGACCTGAAGCAGTTGTTACGCGGAACTTTACATGAAAGTATCGACTTGCATAAAACCATAAGTTATGGAGCGCATATATTACTCTGTCAATTCGCTGACCAGCGGTACACATCTATAATTATATCCCATTGGCTAAGAACATCACGCCATTGCCAGCAACGTCAGTTGATGGTCGTATGACACGATCAATTGCAGTAGTTGCGGTTCAATTTTGAGGCATTTGTAATGAACCACGGTTCTCCAATATTTGCACGTAACCGTTGCAGAGATGGAAGAACTGCGCATATACCCCAATGAATCTCGCGCAGTGAAATTTTTTCAAGTGAGTATTTTTTTCATTTAACGGAGACGTTACCTGGGGCAGTTCCCATCAGCGTGCCGCCATCGTCATCGGTAAAACAAACCATCACATTTGTCTTTCTAAATTTCCCCTCAGCAATGAGATTAGTTGGTAGATCTGGGTAAGAAAAAGATTGTGGTTTTTTTTTCGCAGTGAGATGTAAAGAAATGATTCAGATGGACAAAAGGAAAAAAACGAAAAAAAAAAAAAAGCTTATGCATGACAAGAAAATAAAAAAATTCTTTGAAGCGCGTTTCACTAATAAAATATTCATCCAACTCGAATCATTTGTCTGAAGAAGAAGCATTTTGCGCAACTACTGCATTGTTTGGTAGAGAGCCACCAATATAAACCCGTATTGGCGACTCAAGATCAAAATCGCCATAATTTATAATTTTTGGACACAAAGATAAAACGGACTAGTGTACGTTCGGTTTTCCTTGGGCGACTACCACAGGCGGCCTAACAGAGTTGTCCTTCGTCCTGGTATGCTTACTCTAGATCTTACCAAGTAAAAACTCCCCGTCTACCACAGGGGAAAACCGAGCGTAGAATTCTTTAGGCACCACCTTAGACTGAGCTTGAATGATATCTTCCATTGTCTTCTGTTTGGCGCACTCCTTGAGGCTTGGCATGTCTGTGCATCCTAAGTGTTCGCCAAACTCTCTAAAGGAAATGTAATAGCTATGGGTTAATAAAGAGCAAATGTGAATATAGGCCTTGCAATGAGATAAGGGAGACTCCCAAGGGGTTGGATCCAGGTTTTGTTTTAGGGGGATGCACCATTTATGATCAGGGCATTCCGCACAAACTCAAATACCAAAGCTCAGCTCTTCTATGGGTGGGGAGGGGCTCACCCCTTGAACCCCTCCCCTAGAAGTTCACCCGTGCTCCCACTTTCAATGTAATATGTCTAAAATCTAAAATCTCTGATGCCACCCCCACATACTCCAACAAATATACCGTCACACGCTTTCTTTCAACAGAAAGCTGCGAGATATAAATTGAATTCAAAATATTTTATGTTTACGTTTTACCAGACAAGAATCTTATGTTTGCCCTTTTCTATCAAATTAGAGCATCTAAGTTATCATGACTTTAACATATGAAAAGATGATTTCTAAACTAAGCATTATTTCTAATTTTTGCTTCAAAAATTTAATAAAATCAAGTTGTCAAGCCGGACAACAAATAACTAAAATAGATATCACAATTTAATCGAAGAAAAGGTGGAGACATCGCCCCATCGATCGAATCTCTGACGTTAGAATGTCGGAAGCGGGTCGGGATCGATAACGAGGCTTCCAAGCCGATATCTTTCGAGGAACCGATATCCAGTGCAAGTTAAAATTAAAGAACCTGTTTCTTGAGATATTTTACTCAATAATTCTAAAAGCTAGCCATTTTGTGATACTACACAAGTTAGATAGGAATTATACATCATTCGGGACAAGTTTTCTGGAAGTTTTTTGAAGAACAAAGGCGTACCATCGGCTAGAATCGAGACGACCAAGCTTCAGCTCGTCGAAGAACTAGAAATTCTTATACCACATGGACGTTCTCCTGCAATTTGAACAGAAAAGCTTCGAAAAAATGGCGAATGGCTATTTCGTCTGTGAAGTAAGTATTTCGAAGCCTAGTCATTTTTCCATTAAAAAGTATTGGAAAGTGGAACCTCGAGCTAAATAAGAAAGAAATATTTGCTTACCAAGCAGTTACACTTCGAGACGTCCATGTTTGAATAGTTTCCCGCCAATTTGAATATGGTAATTACGACACGCGCGGAAGGATTTTCGCGCCCTTTTTAGAACCGGAARCGCATAGACATGCATAGCAGGAACAATGCTCCCTTTGCTTTGGAATTCCTTTTTTTGCCATTTTGTCCAAAATATCCAAGAATGCAGGAAATATTATTCCTGGAAATTATATTTTTAGAAATGTTTTTGGGACTTCTGGGGTTTCATTTGATGTTCATTGGTGACATTTGCCTATTACCCAATTTTTCAGGCACCCATCTTTTCAGATTCCTGGATCTGCCCCTGTTAGTAGTTTTTCATAGTTTTATATTTTGTTATTAATGCAAATTTTCATAATTGAATCATCCAGAGAACCAGGTAAAATGTATAAGAAGACCTCTTGATTTCTTGCTTCCATTGATTCAATTTCCAACATTCTCATGAGTGAGTTGGTATGACAGAAACCATTAGTCTAGATATCTTGGGCTATCACTTTGCTGGTTGTATGATAGGCCATGTTAATATCTTAAAATTCAGACTTGACTGCAAGGCATTAGTAGTATGGTAGAAACATGTGGATCACCAAATATACATTTATTGGTTGGAATAAAATAATGTATGTTCCTACCTTTTGGTAATTAATTTTGGTAGAAATGCTAGCTAGTTCACCACTCAACAACATTATAATCTACAGCACTATATCTTTATGCAATTTTGAACATTTTATTTAAGAGAGCCTTGGTATTGTGCTAGAATTTTTATACCTTGAACTTAGCCTATTATGATAAAATAATTAATGAAATAATTAATAATAATAAATTATTATCATTATCAACATTGAATACAATACCTGGCAACTTGTAATGCCTCCTCTGGTTTCTGCACTGCTAGGATCATGTTGGCATACCCACTCATGATAATCACATTCTTGAAGAGACCTTCAGTCAAGGGAGACAGCATTAAAGTTGACACAGCAATACCACCTGCTGATTGGCCAATGAGTGTGACTTGGTCAGGATTGCCACCAAAACTGAAACGAAAATGTTATGTAAGTAATGTGTTATGTCTGCATATCATTAATGTGTTGTTCCAGAAAATATCCATACCACACCACACCATGGAGGAAATTGGAAATTCCCAGGGGTTGGGGGTTAGAGGAAAAACAAAATTAGAAGGTTTATATGGAGAAAATCGGAAATTCCAGAGGGCTGGGGAGACCTTCCTTAAATTTCCACAAAAGGTCAAAAAATAATCTAATGCTAGTTCTAAAATATTAACCACTCTTTTCATTGCTACACACTGATTGAGAAAACAGTCGCCACAGGGAAATAGGTCAATACACTGCCGCCAATCAAATAAATTGGTCCGTACTTTTATATTCTCCGATTGACAGCAGTGTATTGCCCTATTTCCCTGTTACAGTTGTTTCAATCAGCACATAGCAGTGAAAAGAGTGGTAATGGTGAGTTTTGCCCTTTAACTAAGGATAAAAATCTAATTTATTTTTGACATTTTATGAATACACGCAAAAAAACCTTGATGTTATGTTTACTTATAAGTGTTAGGTGTGTGTAATGTTTATTGATAGATTATAAAAGTTTTGATAAAATAATAACTGAGCTGCTTTTGTTAATAAAAATCCATCATTATATCTGATCAAAGACAAAAGCATGCATCAACCAAAACTTCCGTCATAATTTGATAGCAATTGGCTTGAGCACCATATGGTAAATAAGGATAAGAGTAAAGCATAAACAGTCAACTGGCATGAGTAAAGTAAATGCCTCGAGCTGATATGGCATGTTTTTGCTTGATGGAAAAGTTAAATATCCATTTCTACACGAAAGTTCGTTATAGAAAATTTGAAAATAATTTCATTTTGGTATCCAGTTGTGTTCTTCGAAATTTGCATCTTATAAACAATATAACCTGGCAGGATGGCCTTTCCCTATAAAATTATTCACATTTGCAGTGGTTTAATAGAGAGGCTCGTCCAACAAATTGAGTTTCTAACCCACCTTTTAATGTTTCTTTTGGTCCATTGTAATGCCTCCACCATATCAAACATCCCAAGGTTTCCTGATAGATCTTTAGTACCGGTACTAAGCCATGCAAATGATCCCACACGATACTGAGATGCAACGACAATCACGTTTCTCTCAGTTGCTAATACACTACCATCGTACATGGCTGAAAATCCGAACATGTAACCTCCTCCGTGTATCCAGTGAAGGACGGGAAGATTCGAGTTCTCGTTCGCTGATGCTGGTGCATATACACTAATAGTAAGGCAGTCTTCATCCGGCTTCATTGTAGGAGGAAGACCAGGGATGAGAAACTGGGGGCACATGTTGCCGTGTTCTGTGGCATTGATCGGTGTTGTCCATGTCTTTGGTGATGTAGGTCGCTCGAATCGTTTTGCTTGAGCGAAGGGAAATGCGAGGTAGCTGCTTGCTTCCATGCCGTTTTGAAGTAAGGTTATTTTCCCTCGCACAGGACCATATTCAGTTGTAACCACTTTAGTGAAGTTGACTTCTTGTGCAAGGGTAACACTTACGAAGACTACAAGACACTTTACAAGGTTAAAGATACTCATCTCTCCTTCTAAAAAGTATCTTGATTTTACTACGGGATAGAAAGGCTAGAACTAGAAAAGCTATAAAAGCAAACAAATGCTTAGTGATGCAAGCTGCTACATTTAGCTACCAGTATTGTCACGCAAAAATTTTTTACCTCGTCACGCCATTATTTCATGATGTAATTTCATGACGTAATTTCATGGCGCTACTCCGTTCATATGGGACTTTCGTGCGGGAGGTCGTGGTTCGAGTCCCGTCGGGAACACCACTCGGGGACCTAAAATAACTAAGGAGAAAGTGCTGCCATTGTAATTACAGCTACAAATAGTTAGACCTTCTCGTGGCTCGGATGACCACGTCATGGCTGTCACGTTTACTTTAAGAAAACCTAGCCGTAGTGACCACACTTTGCATTTATTAATTGGTCGATCGTGGGATGGCTTAATGGCTAAAATGTCCAACCAGTTTGAACTATATCAGTTACCAATACTTTGGTCTTGCCCTGGGGTATGCCGAGAAACGAGCGACAGAATTTGACCCCTGGGTTTTCGAGGATGGGGTACGCAGGATAAACCGACTAATTGCTAGGCCTCGTAGTTCAACATTTGCACCTTCAACTCAGTCCTCCAGATCATGTAATCATGAAATCCATGCCCTGGATCAACTATTGTCATTTGCTATGCAGTACTGATTATATATGGAACAACGAAGAGTGTTTTTGGAAGCTAGCCTCCTTTTCCTCGAAAGGAGGCAACGTCAAAATTTGGCTACGCGTACGAGACAATTATAGAACAGGTATGATCATTTCTTTTTTATTATTTCATACTTTCATTTTTTTAACTTTGTTTGGTAATGATGACCGTGAAGTCATTTCTGCCGTGCATTGATGGCACATGATATATAGTTTCTTGGAAATATGATATCTTCATATATCTTTAATCGTTATTTTCATATTCAGTGATTTCACATCAAGTATTTTTTAACGCCACTCCTACTATTTTCTATATACATTGGCCTTAAATATTTCCTAATTATTTTAAATGAATGAAATAGTTGGACGAAAATTAAACTGCATTATTTTCTCTTTATTCATGGACCTAGTCTTCTATTCCCCGAAGCTGTTCTTAGTTCTTAGTGGCGTTGCGTGACGACACTACGAACGACTGTGGCGAGACTATCAGGTCCTAGTCTGTTTTCTGTGTTTCACCATAATTCCGCGTAGACTACTAACTATGGCTACACGGCAGTCACGTTGAGCATGACAAAACCCATAGAAGTTTTCCCTTTCAAAAATGAAATATTTGGAAATGCAAAAACACTACATTTTTCTGCACTCAGTGCTGCTGCGAAATGCCACTACTTTACTTCAGCGAAGCAAAAAATAACTGGACATTAGTTTACAATTTTAAACCAATAAATGTCACCCACTATAGGTAAGATTTCCTTCTTGTACTGTAGTTCTGGACTTGAACCAGGATTGTTGTACACTGTTAATCCCTGGAACATGAATGTCTCGTACCCAGGTTTGCTCGGAATGACGTGACGGGTGAACGTCGCTTTCGTTTCTGAAAACAAAGAATTACTAACATGTATAATGTACTTTAGGGTGTGGATTCAATTGTTAATTTGAAATATACTAAGCAAGGATTCGTTTACTTTTTCATTTTCATTTGTTCAGGAGGAAGAGGGGATCATTTTCGAATTCGTACAATACCGGTGTGTTCCTTGATTACAGATTCATTTGTTCAGACTTTGCCTCATTTCGGCGTCAAAATATTCACGAATACCATGTAAAGTAAAGAATGCACAACTTTAACAATACATTGATTCACATCACTATGTAGCATGCAAAACCGTCGTCCTGAAAAGCCACATGCCTCGACTTGAAGCAATTGTTTAAAGACAACTTTAATATCTGCCAATATTATTTTTTTGTCTTAAGCCAACTAATAATAATAACTTACTGAACTCTGCGGTATCTTCGTACGCCTTAATTATGAGGTAGTCGTTTACTGCAACAACATAATGTCTGGGATGTCCATCCAGTTCGAACGATACGTTACCAGTACTTGGGTCTAGTCCTGGGGTGTGCACGATAAACTGATCATGACTATCTGTTGGGGCTGTGCCTCGTAGTTCGACATTTGCACCATCAACTCCTCCAGAAGTGACTACTGTCCAGTTATTGTCATGAATGTGGTTTGAAGGATCACTTGTTGTTATTACACAACGAGATACGCCATTTGACATTTCATCTGTTATAGTTTGACAAGAGACATATACATGGAAACGTCTTAAATTGATGTTTATAATTTCGTATTTTTTTTCTACTTTGCTTATTAAAGCGAGAAATAAAAATTTAAAGATTGATCCAATCTTTCACTGAGCCTCGACACGACATCAGAGAAAAGTTAAATACAAAAAAGATATAGTTGTTTGGTTATTGCATTATTTTCTATAACTATTTCATGATTTATCTTGTACAAATGTTGAATATTAGGCATTCCGAGGTTGAGGAAAAAACTGAGTCGAGTTGATATTGCAGTGTATTGTGGGGTTGTTTTAGGGAACATATTTCCAAGTGTTAGAGATATCGGGGGAATGTCTATTTTACCACCATACGATACGCTTGTTAGAGCTAGTTGACAAATGTTCACTCGTATCTGTTTCAAGTTTAATTCGTGGATCAAGTTCAAACTGGTTCAAGCTAGTACAAGGTTCGCTAAAATGTAACAATAATTCCTAAATTAGCCTACATTTTTGGGGAAATATTTACACTTAAACAGTATATATGTTTAGAATTTATTGTACTTACATCTGGTGGCGAATCACGCATCTAAGTTAGTCTTCATGGCAAAATTATCGTTGGCTCGTAAGCACGTGCATGTCGTTTCATTAAGAATTAAGCGAGTGTCTTTTATTGCATAAGGCTAGATCAAGTTTCATTGCTATGTTTAATCATTAATTTCTGGTAAATCATGGGGTCAAGGAAATCGTAAGAAACAAACAAAACGAATAAATGTATGTAAAAGTTAACTATTCTCAACACCAAGATGGTGTCTATTTCGTGCCCTAAAACAGCCCCACAATGCACTGCAATACTAACTCGACCCAGTTTTACCTCAACCTCAAAATGGCTTATATCATTTACACAAGATAAATCATGAAATAAATATAGAATATATAGAAATAGTTATAATGCTACTACAGCATTGTGAGGTTGGTTGGTTGGGCGAGCTTCGAAGTCTTCTTAGCCCGGGGTTCTCAGTACCCGATTAAACTCACCTGATTTCCCTTGATTCGCAAAAAAAGCAGGCAAATAATTTTCATTCTAAACAGAGAAAAAGACGAAAAAAGTAAAATATAATCAGTAAGGAAGAAGCAAAACAAGCCAGCAGCTATTTTTCTCGTGCGAAACATGCGTTTTATTAAGCCTTAAAATCTAAGGAAATAAAATCTTAGGAACCAGAATCTACAGTCGCACATTCTCTTAATAAGCCTGAAGCGAGATGACGTTTTACCCCCGACTCTAGACCATAATAGTTTTTAAAATTCTTTCATATTAAAATTTTTGATTCCTTGGAGAATATAAGAACAATAGTCATAATTAAAGAACAAAAGCAGTGTGAAAAGGATTAAGGTCTAGAGACGGGGGTAAAACGTCATCTCGCTTCAGGCTTATTGAAAATTTAAGTAGGCGAGGTGAATGGGTCAACACTACACGCCTTTTCGGATTTCCATAAAACATGATGCATTGTAGTCTAGGGCTTAGCCTACTAACAACACCATATAAGGCATGATGAATCGCGTATGACTGGTAAACAAATAAGGCAAATTTAGCCGTACCGTACCTTATCTTAGCTTTAACTTAGCGTTTTTATTGAATAAATACTGGAAGRCAATGTGAAGCCATTTCAATGTTACGGCATGTCGTACCGTGTATGTGCTGTACCGTATGTTTCCCTCTCGTACGATTACCATTCTTATGGGAAGTCATTTCATTCTGGGGCGGATCCAGGATTTTGTACAGGGAGGGGTGCACCCTTGTCAGCATGTAGTACCGTGTACTTATTGTAGTCAGTACAATATGTTTCCCACTCATACAAGAACCACAGTAATTAACATGTTTACCTCAAAGTAATAGTGATCGTAGCCTTGTCTTGCTACCAGAAGATTGCTATGGTCGTTGTGATCACTTGACAACAGATAACACTTCAATAAATATGGCACCTTTTCTCCAAGACTCGTGTCAAAAGACAGGCACTCTTTCTCCCGCATGCATTTTAACATGCAGTCTAATTCCGATTCAACGGTTGTGTTTTCTACTATGTCTACAAGTAGCTGATGGTTTTCGATCTTCCCTGCGAACTTAGATGTGTCATTACCAAGAGTTATTTGGTTTCCTTTGGCGGAGAGATTTACGACTGTATTTTTGTAGAAAAGCACGGCAAATAAAGTGTAGAGAACAGTATGGAGTCCATTCATGGCTGCGTACACCTTCAAGATGAATGAAATACTTGGTTAATTTATTTATCCACTCATCCACAACACTTCCATTATTATTTGTGCTAATAATGTGTCGAAATCATCCTACTGTTGAAGTTCGTAGAGATTTAACACCAGCTTGCCTCTCAAAGTAGGCCCCTTATGAAATAACCTTGAATGGGAGGCAAACGGGAAAATACAAAAGAAAAAAACCCCTTCAAAAAAATTTTCGATGGGATTTGTGCCAATTAATCTTTTGCATTTTCCTTTTAGTCTAGCGCCCAAGGTTGTGCTTTAAAGATTTCATAAGTAGGCCCCTCATAAAATAACCTTGAATGGGAGGCTAACGGGAAAATACAAAAGAAAAAACCCCTTCAAAAAAATTTTCGATGGGATTTGTGCCAATTAATTCTTTTGCATTTTCCTTTTAGTCTAGTTTAGTCTAACTAGATTTCAAAGGAATATATAGGTTGCTTAACAAGATAAATGCTAAACCATGCGGAGAATTATTGACTTGAGTACTTTAGCAAGTACATAACTCACCTTTGTACAATCACCTGATGAAAAATAACCCTTTTTAAATCCAAGCTCCTTCCATCAGCGTTCGCAACTGCGTTCGTTCGCAATAAATCCTATTACTGTATGAAATAGCCAGAGAAAACGACTACTGATAGATATAGATTCGGCTTTAATGACTAAAAACCTATTTAAAAAGTATTTTTAAGCGAATCCCGATAYCAATCTTATATTTACGAATAGGATATGAAGAAAGAAGCCGATGGCGTGAGGGAATAAACAAGATTTGAATCGCTATTGAGTTCGGTAAACAACGCCCCATCTTTCTGTGCTTTACTGTCCGCTAGTATTGATCCAAGTGCGCACATGAGACATTTTCAATGGATGTGACGTCGTTAGCGCGGCAAAAATCCTGACATCTCCCGAGAAATATTTATTCAGGATCTTCAAACTTTGAAGTGAGTTGATGGAGTTGATGAAGTTTCAATTTAAACGGGTATTTTTCGAATCAGATAGTTCTATCCTTGAAAAATTTTATTAAACTTGAATACACAAAAAATTATATTTTTCATGTCTTTATTCAAAAAGTTTTCTCTTTTTAAGTTCATACCAACCATGTTTGTTTATCATTTTTTATTCACTGATTCTTGCTCTCTATTTATTTGATATTGTTGATTTAATATCCAAAATGAAAATCTAGTTTTCTTTGCTTGATGCGTGTTTGTGTACCCAAGGAAATGATCCCTGAAGTTTCCTTGCTGAAGGTGGCTGACTACTTTTGAACGTTCGAATTGAGCCCACGATGTGCGCGCCTCAAAAACCGCTGAATAATTTTCACGATTTTATTGAAGAACCATACACGTTTTGAACTTCAAGACGGCAAAACCCTCAAATTTTGCACGGGGCTCTATACTTTTTTTTGTTATTTTTCGGAATAACAGGTAATATCCCATTATTTTTCAAAGTTAAAATGTAGAAAATCGTTCTGTTTGTTTTGTGCTCAGTTTTTACGATAACTTGCACACCGTGGAACCTGTWCAAAAAAAGGTTTTTCATTGTCTTCAATAGTTTATTAAAACAACTTTTATTAGTATTTTATAAATATAGTGTAAGTTACGTGTTCGGAGAAAATTACTCATGTTTCTTCCTTAGTTTCGGTTTTATGATTTTTTTGTACAGAGCTTGATTTTTGCAATTTTTCTTCGAAAATTGTACAAACGCATGTCATTCCGGAGTGATTATCTCAAAAACAAGCTCAGGACACCCCAATTTTCTTTGCATTTTTGAAATCGGCATTAAATTTCAGGATAAAGAATTTTCAATTTTCTGTTTATTATTTACCAAAGTAGTCAGCCAACTTAACGTCAAAATTGTTATAACAAGATAGGATTACCAAAGTTAGTTGTACTGTATATACTGTAGTCTGAGAAGAGAGATCTTAAACTGGGCAGGTGTTGAAGAGATGAAGATTTGAATTAACTGAGACTCGGAGATCCATCTATCCGTACGTCCATCCGTCCATCCACCCACCCGTCCATCCGGGATCCATCCATCCATCCCTTCCTACCTCCCTCTATTCATTTGATATTCATTCATTCTTAGTATTTGTTTTGATAATTTGCCGAGCCTTAAAGGCGCCGACACACCGCGTAACATTGCGCGCAATATTGCAGGCAAAGTTGTGAAGTAGAATCGTTTTGTAATTTGAAGATAATAAAAAGGAAAATCGAACAAGGAATCAATCATTCATGACAGAATGACACGTGGACCTCGAATTAATGGAAAAAAACCATTACTGACTGGTTTATGAATTAACGGTAAAAGGTATTAATTCATTCTATCTTCTTTAGCCGTACACCTGCTTTCATAATTCTTAGTCTTTTAAAAGATTTTGGCTGAGAAAGACAAATCGTGACCAAACGCACGTTTGGCCAAATGGCCCGTGCGGAATCTCGTGCATTAACCACTTAAACCGGGGCTTACTTAAAATCTAGTTCTTTCTATTTTAAGTGCAGTCTAAGTTTCTCGTTGAACGTAGACGATAATGGTATAAACAATGAAAATGAAAGAAAATGAAATGGATAAAAGTTGAAATGTAAACAAAAATATTGTGCGTGACAAGCGAAGCATATCTCGGAAGCAGGTTATATGTGAAACGTTTTATACTTGCGCATGCGCAGAACGACTGTATTTCTGTTCGGATTTTACTTTACAGTACTCATATTTCTCTAAGGTACGGGTATCTAGACAATGTTGTTGTCGTGCACTAAAAGGGTCATAAAAACGCTGGAAAAGGCTCTCTATTATTCATTATTTATTTTATAAAATCTTTTGCTGGGTATTTTAATATTTACACTTGTGTATTACTCGTTACATTGTATATTATTTTAATGTCCTGACAAGGTTCATAGTAATTCGTGTCTATGGGAGATTTTTAAATGAGTTACAAACATGGCCTTCATGATAATTGAAATTCATCCATCGAAACTGATAATGAAATATTGACGTTAGTCCCCGTTTATCAAGTATAATGGTGTTTTGATAAGCGCCAAGTCTTGACATCAAAAACTGATTCCCTAAAACCTCTTAAAGATAATAAAATTCAGTAGAAATTTGAATAACTTCTTATTCAGCTTTGAGATGCAATCCATTATTCTTGATTAGCTTTCCTATAGTAATCGAACTTTTTTCGCCGAAAGTAAGCGATTTCAAGTTTTTCTGTTTGATTTTCAAATCTTTCTTTCATGATTTTTCTTTYTTTTTTTTTTKTCTGGGTATTTTGCGTGACTTATCTTKTAATTATAAAATAATTTGTCAAAGTCTGATATCACAATCGATAAAAAGATTTCGCCAGAGGAAGTAAATTCGCCATCAAATAAAACTTGTTGATTGGACATGTGCTTTATCTCGCGCTCTGATTGGTTCATAGCGAAAAGCCATTTGAGTGGCACAGATYCCTTTTTCCTTTAGTTTCTCACTCATAAGAAGCTTAGTACCTGTTCTTATTAATCTCATGATGTTAGTAAAATCGTAGACAATTATCAAATAATATGATATATAGAATTCATAATTCTTGTATTGTCCAAAGTGGACGATAAAAAACAAGAAAATAAGCAAAAAAAAAAAAAACATATACAAAATAGAAACAAAGGAGCAAAAACACGCGTGCACACACTCACACATATATCATTCGCTTCTGAAATAGCAAATGAGACTTTTTCGAAAAGKTTTTTTTTTAAGTTCTTCAAATTTTATCGATACCCTGAAACAACCTCTGGGCTGAAAGTCAGCAGGGCGTGGTTTACTCGTGGTTTGAATTTAGCCAGTTAGGTTTTGCGAAGAGAAGAACTGGATAGCCTGGAGAAAAGGCCTAACAAACTTTACTTATATGTGACAACGGGTCTGAAAATCGAGCCTGAGACTTCAGACCCCGGAGGTGAAAGACGAAGGCTACGCCATCTTAATTTGATCAATTTATTCATTCATCCTTGAGCATTAATTCTCCTTCTAAATCAAGTCATTTTGCTCATAACTTTATTACATCTATTTTTAATTTTAATTTTTTGTTTTGTTTTCACAAAAGGCTCATTTGTATTAGTCAAAATTTATGAAAGTCGAATAACTAAAAATTCCCCGGTAGGCTAAGATCTGCTGTGACGTCACTAGTCAATATGAAAAGTCTTCAGGGCATAATTACAATCTGTCGCATTCCTTTGATCCATAATTTGATCAAATCATTTAATATGACAAAGTCAAAAAGTCTGATATTCTCCTTTTTACCAGAAGATGCATACACTTTTGATTCAAATGGACTTTTTGGAGTTCCAAATTACCGCTGTGTTCCTTGACTACAGACTCATTCACTCAGCGTCCAAATATTCCCAAATACTAACGGTAAAGTTAAGAATATACCAATTCACTTTCAAAAATTCCAGGACCATTTTCTGGACACATGGATATTCTGCACAAAGTCGAAGCTAACCCTGAGCAGCAGAGAACTCCAAACTTGAGCCATTGTTCCTTGAGGTTTTCCACGTCCAACCTCAATAAATATAGCATAAAATCTGTCGTTTGTGATTTTTAAATAAATTGGTCTGTGATAACTGAATTTAAAGAAAAAAAGTGTACTTCAACTGATCATCTGAGTAATTACGTGTTGAAGAAATTTTCTCGGTTGAAAATATTTTCACTCGAAAAGAGATTCCACAACACCCTCCCTGAAAATTCTTTCCGTCGCGTACTGTTTTATCTTCAGCCATAGTCTGTCAGGATGCTTGTTCGATTTTCCACAATATTTATCATAATATATTTTATAAATCAAGTCTCTTCCTTCGAATATATCCAGATGAATAATACTAAGAATCCAATTCACTCTTTTAGGAGAAAAATCATAGATAACACTCCCATAGTCTTGAAGAAACGCCGAGCGGAATTCCGTCCAAGAGACATTTGTTCGTGGATCAAAGTGTCTTTTCCAGAAGTCAATGTTTTGGTTTTGAATCGAGGACATTGTCGTTTCAGTCCTAGGTCTTCGAAAGCCACAGCTCATTAAACTTTCGGTCGACAATCTTCGATTAGACTTGAAGTTTAGCCTTGTCGAAGTCTCGATGGTTGCAGAGCGTTTTAAAAACATCAAATCTTTTTTCYCTTTTCTTTTCGTCTTTTCTTCTTCCATTTGTGCGTCTGTAAAAAAATATAAAGCTGTCAATATTTTGAGCGTCGAAAATCAAAATATTTGACCTTACATTATAATTATCAACTAGCCTCTCTTCTCTTAAGAAAATCGGCTATATCACGATCGAGAAGTTGTAAGTGGTTGACATTTTCGATTAAGTACATTTGCAGGGTGAATAAAACGATGGCTTACAGCCGCACGAAATTGTATTCTTAAAAACGCAGCCACATTTTCGAATTATATAGTTTTAAAATCACACTATATAAGCTTAGTACGATATCAAATATCAATAACATATCTTACATTCTGTGAGTCCTAGAAAATTGGCGTCTAAATTACCAACCTTTATCACATTCATTTTCTTTCATCCTTCGGTTAAAACATCGGCTACCTAATCGACCTCGTCTGCTAACTCTCCTCTAAACCAAAATTGCTAGTTGTTTTGCAGGTTAAAAACTAGTTTTTAGATAACGATCTTTACGTAAATAGAATAAGATACTTATGTAGAATCCCCCTCATAGGTGGTGCGTCAATAGTTTTTCGGTATGATGAATTATAAATAAAAATTAGAACTTATTGTTGTTGTAAAACTACGCCACCTAGAGGGCAGGCGCTAGAAAGACTGGAAGGCAATTATTTATTTATTTTTGAGCTGATTGAAATCTTCTAATTTTTCAACTTTAATTGAAGTTAATAAGTCAAATCCGGAATTGTTTTAGCTTTTAGATCCGAAAGGGTTTATCAGATTTTGAAAAAATGTTAGATTTATTTTACTTTATTTTCATATTTGTATTTGTATTTCTTCTCTTCTCGGCTTCTCTTCTCTTTCTTTTTCCACCTTACAATTAGCTAAAYTCAGGAACTCAGTAACATTTACCTAACAGATTAAATCGATCACTTGGTATAATGATATTACGTGCATACTACCATACATTGTGATGCAATATGAAACATTATTCCTTCTCAACCTACAACTACGTGAGATGTTTGATACATATCGAAGTGAAGATGAATATTATTGCGTTAGCCTAAAGAAGCCCGTTGGAGTGCAGTGATATTTTTGTCGTAAGTGAGGTTGGTAGCCTTGGAAAATAACTGGGTGACCTTGTTTTCGTGCGCTTGACAGCCATTATGAGAACGGTGAATACATTCTCTAGATATATAATATATCTACTGCGTCTCGTTCAATTCGGATCGGACGTGAAAATATCAAAGACAAAACAAAAAAATTATAAAAGAGAATTTCAAAATTACTTACAAAATTACTTATACTTTTTGAATTCTTGTCCTATTGGCAGGCGAATGACTCAATGTTTGTTGGTTACGAGTTGTAATTTTTTGATATGACTGTTCAATAAGAGCAGGAGTTTTTTATTAGGTTTAAAAGCAGGATAGGWGGAAGCTAAAAGAGAGGGTTGAATTACTAATTGCATCGCCTGTGGTTATTTTGATTGGATAAAATGGACCATTCTCTAAATTATCTTCGATGCGAGGCTAACATGAAAATCAGTACAAAATAAACCACACTTTTTCTTATAATGGAATTTGTTGTATTTCTTTTGTATTTCTACGTTAGTCTAAATTTCAAGGTGATTTTGACAAGGGTACATTATTTTACTTAATAGTTAGTTTAATCGACTTATTATTCATGTGACTGAGAAACCATTTGTAAGTAATTCAAGACACCGTTAGTCTAATAGCTTTATTTTTGCCGAAACAACAAAGTCGACAATACGTGTCCAACTGAAGAGCATTGYACTTTTAACCGATCACGTTCGGTCATCATAACTTAGTGCTTCGTCAAGAAAATGACGTATTCAGTTTCATCATCGTTAACAGGCATTACGTAGACTCGTTTTTCATTGAATACCTTTTGAAGATGATGGTATTTGAAAAGAAAAATGGTCCAAACCTTTTCACGTTAAATGCCGTTATGGATTTGGTCAGGATTTGAACAGTCTCGTACCCAGAGCTCCTAGGTTTTGTTGCACGAGACTGGAACTAGTGCAAGTCCATTACAGACCGACCGACAATTCCTACCCATGGGGGTTCGATATTCAGCACTCAAATCAATTCAATACTGGTATACCATGTAAAAGCCCCAAAATGCTATTTCCTCCAGCTTATGACATTGTCACGGCTTGATGCACAATACCAATTACAAGCTAAGCTTGGGTATGTCATAATTGTACAAATACATACTAACAGTCGGATATCAAAGGCAGTCTGTAATAACGCGACTTGACAGCGGGAACAACTCGATCATTCTAGTTATTTTTAGATAAAATTTTTAGGTGCACGTAATGTTCAATTTATTCCAAAATGGTAATTCCATTCGCTTTTACCCTGGAAGGCGCGCAGTTACCCGGTGGCGCCAGAGATTCGCTCGTCAATCCGGAGCCTGGAACCAAACACCAGAACTGAAAATATTTTAAAATCTAAATATTTTGCCGTTGTTGGTAAAACAGACAACCTTTTCTTGTTGAGATATTTCACTGATTATCAATTTAGAACAGTTTTCAATTAGACATTCCGAGGTTGAGGAAAAAGCTGGGTCGAGTTAGCATTGCAGTGCATTGTGGGGCTGTTTTAGGGAACAAATTAGACGCCATCTTGGAAATATGTCCTAAAACAGCTCCGCAGTGCACTGCAATTAATTCCAACTCAAGATAGTTTTTCCTCGACCTCGGACTGGATAATACTTGCCATAATTTACACAACGTTTAATGTGCAATTCACTGTACAGTACGCTTAAGTATTTATAAATAAACCTGTGTTCTTGGTCGAAATAAGTAATTTTAAAACGTGTTTAACATTAAAGCTAGTCGTTTATTCCCATAGTTATTACTTTAGAAACTCAAATAAAGTAAAATTAATAAAGTCGTATTGGTGCGTAGGCTTAAAGGCAACAAATATAACGACACAAGCTCTGACAACAATATTTACCAAAACAATGACATATCAGTTACTGACTTTAGGTTCAGTTATTTGTAGTCAATTGTCCATTGTCAGTTAACTGTAAAACCCTACCCACACCCTCCCACAATGCAAGATGAATGAACTATATACTGTACTACTTTATCATTTTGTAAAGTTAATTACTTATCAGTAGCTTCATACTTGTATTTTCGACTTTAATATTAATCTTCTTCCTATTTTTCTTTCTTTCTTTTTCTTTCTTTCTTTCTTTCTCTCTCTCTCTTTCTTTCTNCTTTCTTTCTTTCTTTCTTTCTTTCTTTCTTTCTTTCTTTCTTTCTTTCTTTCTTTCTTTCTTTCTTTCTTTCTTTTTTTCTTTCTTTCTTTCTTATATCTTTCTTTTTTCCTTTCTTTTTTCCTTTCTTATTTGTTTGTTTGTTCGTTTGTTTGTTTCTTCTCAGTTTCTTATGTTCTTTTTGTTCTAGTTTCTGTCTTTGCCTCTTTTTGTTTTTTTCAGTCTTTCTCATCTTTCTCTTTCATTTTTTACTTCATTTATTCTTTCTGACACTCCTTTGTTCTTTATTTTTCCTAGCTTCTTCTATTCTCTCAGTTTTATTCTCATTCAGCATATTGGTTAACTAACTTTGTTTAACGAGTTTAAGAAGCTCTTAGTCTCCCTTATATATATCAGCAGTATCGATCGGCGGCCATATTGCCTTGAAGCTAAAATCAAACAGCGTTTTAATTACATCTAAAAAGTCAATTAACGCATTAACGAATGTTTTCTAGAACCTTAAATCCGATATCGTATGACCTACACCACAGCCGATATTACATTTGATATTTTTTCGAGGCGAGAAAAAAGTTTAATCTGAGATATCACTTATCGTGAATTCTATAATTCAAATTTTGAGGGGAAGAGAGAGACAAAGATAAAATAAGATACTGTAAGGACTTCTTCAGTTCAGAACTAGATATCTTTCTTTTAAAACTAAAGACTGTCTCTAGGGATATTGAATGACTGAGTTAAGAAATGTTCGCTGTCCGGCGACTTCCAATGTTATTCAATATGGCCGAATAATTTGACAATATCTGACCAGTTGAAGCAATATGCCAAAGCTAAGGGAGTACTATACTCGGTAATCAGAATGAACAGAATCGACGCGCCAGTATATAGATATATGCATAGGTATAAGACTCTTTTATAGCTTGGGCGCAAGGCTTTCCCGTTAAATCCCACGTGTCACGTCTAGAGAATAAGATTTTTTGTTTAAATTGCTCCATATTCATGTGTCTTCTCTTGCATGACCATTAAACAAAGAAATGATACTCTAGAGAATGACATGCACGTTGCCTGGAATAGGAAAGATTTAACGCTTTCAAAATCACAATTTACAAGCAAAAAACGGCTAGAGAATCGTCAGACATTCAAGTGCACTTAGTAATAGCTTTCAGTTTGTGAACATATCATTGATTTTTGGATGTTGTGTGGGCGAAGAAACTGGTGATGGAAACCAAAAACGTATTTCAAATGTTCACGATTTTTTTCCCGAAAATTTTCACTTTGGATTTTTTGTTAAATCCGTTCCAAGCCCCTGTTGCATGTGTCCGAATTCTTAAAATTTAACTATTTGATTTAATAAAAGATTGTGGTGAAGATTGAATGCTTAAAGGGAATTGCAGCTCGAATCATCGCGGTCAAAATATAAATAGAGTCCTTTAGAAGCCAAAACCATGCTAAACCAACATGTTTAAATAAAACCTTCTGGGGCAAATACCGAGTAACTGCAGAAAGTGCTAGTCGTAAACTAATGAGTTTCTGAAAGGTTTTGATGCACACGAGTCATGTAATCTTAAACTAGAAGATTCCAAGGCTTTTTACAACAAGGACTGATTGAGAATTGCCTCGTTTCTGAAGTTGATTGCAAAAATAATTCACCGAATTTGCCGGCTTCTACCAGTACATAAGTACAGTCACTAAATTTCTCAAAACGACGTATTACTATCTCGCCTGGGTAGATCTAAGTATAAGTTTAAATAGTTATCAAAAATAATAAATTCTTACTTTGTTTCACGATGTTAAGGTTTTTTAAAAACTGCGTGGTCAAGAATAATCTTTTAACGTTACTCGCTCCGTCTCTCTGTTGTCTTGTCGGATATGAAGCCGGTGAACTTTCCGAAAGTTTCACACTGACTGACACTAGGCTAGTGTCTTGTGTGGCTTCTAGAGTGCTTCAACTATTCGCACATTAGCGTAAGTTTAATATAGAACAAATTGATGGATTCTTTTAATGTGTTATTCTACAGCCCTTTTTGATATTGTCTCTCTTGCTTCCCTTCTAGAAGGTTCGATCGTTTGACAGCGTTTTGATTTTWAAAAAAATCAATATATCATATTGAAAGTGTCTGAGTGAGTCACGCGAGTTAAGCTGTAAAAAGCAACGAAGAAAGTGAATTTTTGAACTCGAAAACATCTGTTGGTACAGACTTCAAATCTTACACTAAAATCTTAAGCGCCGTTTACACTAGCGATTTTTGCGGTGATTGTTGCTGCGATTTTTTTGGCGATTTTGTCCATAATATATAATGGTAAAGAATTTACTTGTAAAGTTTTTTTTTTTCAGGA